CTTTCCCTGGGCCAAGTTCACTTACAGGTGTAGACGGCTGTCACAGCAGGTAGAGGATGAGGCCAAAGGAGAGGAAATGCTCCGAGAAAGGGAACCCAATTATTTACATGTCCATTTTCCCCAGACACGGCTGACAGGGAACAGCAATGTAGGGGTCAGAGAGAACCCAAGATCTGGATCCCTGCTTTTGGAAAGAGCCCTTTGTTTGAATCCCTTGGCGAAGTGGGCTCAGCAGGATTGAAGAATAAAGTGAGTCCAGTTTTCTAGAAGAGTTCTGAGTGGTGACTATGCTATGTGGAGGAGTTAGGGATGGACCATCATAGGCGGCAGGCTTATAGACAAGGGCCCAAGGCCACGCTGAGGAAGCCAGGACAGGGATGTGGGGGAAGATGGCATTTGTCAAGAGGGCTCCTTGTGGGATGAGGCGGTTCAGGGCATTTCAGATGCCGAGCCCAGAAGCAGCAGCTCTGACTGGGAATCAGGGAAGTAGTCTGCGGGGAGCAGGCAACAACGTTCAGAGGTCAAGCTGGGTCATAAGTCATGCAGGTATCTTCTGGCCAGCAGTTATGCAAGAGCAATGGAACCCTGGGGCCCGAGATGTCAGGCAAAAATATGAAAGAAGAGCAGGGCAGGAAGCAAGAGCAGGTCAGCAAGAGGTCAGGAGGCTTACGGTACTGCCTGGGAATGACAGAAAAGCTGGGGTCCAAAGGTCTGGAATTCTCAGATTTGCTACTTCTAAGCCCTTAAGAGGTCCCTGGCACCACCAGAAAGGGTCTTTGACATTATTTGGCTCCTGACTGCTTTCCTCTCCCACCTTACATGCTCTCCCTTACTATTAACTGCTGCACCACCAAACAACTCTAGTTCTTGGAACACGTCATGCTTTTTCACGCCTAGCTTATATTGTTTTCTCTTCCTCAAAATACACTTCTACTGCTTTGCCTACCTGGAGAACTCTTCTCTCTCAAAACCAAGGTATGCTGTCAGCTACTCTGATCCTGCCCAGGTCTGAGAACATTATCATTGTACTTAATACACTGTCTGGCAATTGATTAAAAATGGAGGTCATTCACCTTATGCTGGCACATAGTAGGCCTGCAATATATATCTGATAAGTGAGTGAAAGGATGTATCCTAATATGGGTCTAGTTCACCTTTCTCTGGCTGGGCGCTGACACAGTAATGCAGTCCCCTGACTGGTTTGTTTCTAGAGCCTTAGCAGTACTGCCTCACTTAGACAGAGGAATGTTAACAGCAAAGAATCCCAATCATCTGGCGCTGGCACAAGCCCTGGGGTGACCTCACGTCCTCCCTGGATCTCCCAGCACCTCAGCTAGCACTAAAGCTCAGTTCTGCAAGTGAGGGAGATGTCAAGGCAAGAGATGCTCCTGGCAATGTCAAGCAGACACTCCATTCCAGCCATCCAGGGTGTTGGCCCTTCAGAGGACGGCCTGAAGAAAGGGAGATGACTACTGCACGGCTCCAGGAAGGGGGTTCTCAGCCTGGGGTGGGGAGGTGTCAGGGGACGATGGGCTCTAAGATATTCATGAACTGTTGTGTGGATAGACATTTTTCTGGGGAGATGGCTCCCAGCTTTCATCAATTTTGCAAAGAGGTCCATGACTATTAAATATTAAGACCTATCATTCCAGAAACGTGCCTTCCTCAAGGCAGCTCTGCTCACAGAACCAGCTGCTGACTCCAGATCACAGACGCCTTGGTCACAGTCGAGGCAGATCATGGAAGGGACTCAGGTTCCCCCACAGCGAGGCATGTACACACTCCCTCCCACCCTGAGAAAAGACTTTCTGAAGATAAACATTGCGCGTAATTTAAGGAAGTTCTGAGATCTGCATCTTGTACAAGATCAAATGCAATCAGTGAGAGGGAGTCAGCCTTAGAATACCTCGCCATTGACCTTCCTTAGGACAACAAATCTTCCAAAAAATGAAAAATAAAAAGGCAAATCTCCAGGGTCTCATTCCTGATGAAGAGTCATGTTTGACCTCGTTCTATCAGTAATGGGCTCAGGAAATACTAATAAACAGACAAATCCTGTGCAACGACTCCTTTACATTTCACCTTTCCTTTTTTTCTGGCGTAGAAGCCTGTGGTTTTGGAAGACAGCAGGAAAAAGGCTTTCCATATTAAAGAGGCAAGACGTGCACGCGCGCACACACAAAAAGAAAGCAAATCTAAAACTGGAGAGGCTTGTACTAAACTCTGGGGAATCGAGAGTTACTTTTCACCCACATCCTGTAAGGGCAGAAAAAGCACCGGAAAAGGTTTCTACTAAAATATGTGTGTTTTGTTTTTTCTTTTTTAAAGAAAAACATGAATCACTCATATCCACTCTGATATCTGAACAGCTCAGCTGGACACTTTTTTGTTTGCTTGGTTCCCACTGTTCTTCCCCCGACTTCTGAAAAGATAATTTTAAAAAGTGCTTACAGTAAATCTTTAAATTTCCATTGTTAAGAGCATGCAGTTTGTACCCAAACAGGTGTGGGCTCTGCCATTGACGTGCTAAGTAATGCTGGACAGGTTCCTTAACCTCTTTCAGAGCCTAATTATCGATCAATTAAAATGTGAGTATGAATAATACTGACTTCAAATGGTTGCTGAGAGAATTAAATGAAACGATGCATTAAAAAATCATAGACTATACCATGTCTACTGAGGCAAGGGAAACAAAAGAAAAACAAACAAATGGGACTACATCAGACTAAAGATCTTTTGCAAGGCAAAGGAGACCATGAACAAAACGAAAAGACAACCCATCAACTGGGAGAAAATATTTGCAAATCATATCTGACAAGGGTTAATTTCCAAAATATATAAAGAACTCGTACAACTCAAAAACAAAAAAACCCAAACAACTCGATCAAAAGGTGGGCAGAGGATATGAACAGAAATTTTTCCAAAGAAGATATACAGATGGCCAATAGGCACATGAAAGATGTTCAACATCACTAATCATTAGGGAAATGCAAATCAAAACTATAATGAGATACCACCTTACAACCATCAGAACGGCTATAACGAACAAGGCCAAAAATAACAAATACTGGAGAGGATGTGGAGAAAAGTGAACCCTCACACACTGCTGGTGGGAATGTGACCTGGTGCAGCTGCTATGGAAAACAGTATGGAGATTTCTCAAAAAATTAAAAACAGAAACACCATATGATCCAGCTATTCCACTACTGGGTATTTATCCAAAGAACCTGAGATCAACAATTCAAAGAGATCTATGCACTCCTATGTTCACTGCAGCATTATTCACAATAGCCAAGACATGGAAGAAACCCAAGTGCCCATCAACAGATGAATGGATAAAGAAGATATGGTATATATATATACAATGGAATACTACTCTGTCATAAAAAAGACAAAACCATCTGATTTGCAACAACATGGATGGCCCTTGAGGGTATTATGTTAAGTGAAATAAGCCAGACCAAGAAAGACAAACACTGTGTGATTTCACTCAAATGTGGAAGATAAACAAATACATGGATAAGCAGAACTGATTAGTGGTTACCAGATGGGAAGAGGGTGGAGGGGAGGGTGAAAGGGGTAAAGGGGCACATATATACGGTGATGGATAAAAATTAGACTGTTGGTGGTGAGCACAATGCAGTCTATACAGAAACTGACATATAATGATGTACACCTGAAATTACACAATGTTATAAGTCAATATGACCTCAATAAAATAATTTTTAAAAAAATCGTAGACTAGCCTAGCATACTCTAAGCACCCAATAAATGATAGCCAAAGAATAGGAGCTGTGGAGTTATATCTCTATCAATAAAACAAAAGATTTCAAGGACACACCCTTGTGCATTCTCATACACGTTATAATATGTAGAAAGAAAGACCCATAAATAGTAGGACTGCTTCTCAGTGAGGATTCCTCACTTTATAGGTCACATGGGGCAGTTATACTGCCTTCCTCACCTTCAGGTGAGCTTGAGTCTGGCAGAGAAGGGACCCCCTCCCCTGAAGCAGCACAGGTCATCTGTCCAGGCCCACAGAAGGCCCAGGAAGCCACAGCCTGGAAGGCATACCTCGTATTTCCCAGTGACCAGGCCCTGTGAGTCCTATCTGCTCTTCCAGAAAGCCCTGGTCAGGCCAGGGCCCAACCCTGCACCGTCATGCCTTCTGCCCACCTCTACTATGCCCAACTTAGCTGAGAATCTAGACGGTTCTCCCAAGTTCATCTGGGACAGGAAATGATGTTTCTGAGAATTGTTACTCAAATGATCATCATCCTTCAGAAGCCATGAGAGTTGCATTTTTATCTTTTTCTCCAAAAGAACTTTTACCTACTTTCTGTAAATTCACCAAGTCAGAAAAATCTTTCCCAGGTTTTGGCTTTCCTTTTGTTTTTTCTAAGTACTGCAGGCTGGGGGACTTCGAAGTAGGAATTCTTCCTTACTTTTGACAATCACTCTGGCTAAGTTTGTAGTAATGGTCTTTGCTCCAACTGTCGAGCCTCACTCCTCATCGCCTCTTACTCAGATCACATAAGACAATTCCAGCAACGGTACTGCTTACCTCCTGGTGCCGCATCCACACCAAATATCCAGGGATCCACTTATCAATTCCACCAAGAGCATTTTCTCTAAACTTCTCTCCCTGGTCGGAATCTTACCTCTTCCAAGATTTGTATATGGTTTTTCTTGCAAATTACTGCATTAAACCTAAATTTCTTTCCCCTCCAGTTTAACTACCTTTCCCACAGAAGGTGAAAAGAAAAAAAAATTCTTGTTTCATTTTATGAAAGAAAGCTGACTTAACTTATTAGTAAAATCAACAGAGACTCCAGACAATTCCTGTATCATCCAACAATTCCTTTAGCATCAAGGAAGCAAGGATCAGCACCAGGATTGGGAACAATGGGATTCTCCTTGTCCATGTTGGACATTCCTTACAAAGGTTACATTATCACAGATGACTTTTCAAAGGAAATCAAGCAACGACACTTCCTTACCCGGCAGTCTCTCTGAAGTGTTTTCATGAGTGCATTGTATGTTTCAGTATCAAAATACAGCCCTTCGTGCATGTCTTGCAGGAAATCTAAATCCTTAAACGTGGGGTTGGATTTCTCTCTCTCTTTTCGGGATGCTCTTCGCTTGTAAGTTGAGCCTTTCAAGTCATAAGTAAAGTGCATTCTCATGAAACGTGGCAAGACGTTGTTCATCACCACAATCCTGATGTTGATGCCCCCTGATTGCATGCAATACAGGCCATAAAATTTTGGCAAAAGAGTCCGTGGATTCTGGTTTAAATTCTACAAAGAGAAAAAGGAAAAAAATGTTTAAAATCTCCTGTTTTTACAAAATAATGCTCCATTAAAAATGTGTTTTCATCTAATATGATAATTAAAAATGGAATGTGATTATCTTTATTAATAGCCATTGCTAAAATTTTGCTGTTTCTAATCTAGTTCTTAAGTCGGCTTATTAAAACATCAACTTTATCTTTCTACTAAGGGCATTAAAAGCGACTGAACTGAAAATGGACAGAATCTCCCAAATTAGCTCTAACTAAAAACAGAGAATTGATTAGTGCCCTGTGTGACTCTTCTCTAAGATAGCTAAAGCGAAAATTAATTGCTGGCGTATAAGGAATGAACATTTTAAATTTTAATAGCTCCCGAAAAACTGTCTTCCAAAATGGCTAGACCAATTTACAATCACATTTTGTAAGATCCCATATGTCTCATCACTCTTACCAGGGCTGAAGATCACCAACCTTTAAGATCATTGTAAGCATGGTTGGTGAAAAGCAGAAACTTGTTTTCAAAATCTGAATACCACTGATTATTAGATAAATTCACTATTCTTTAACTTATTTCTAGCCACCTCAGAGATAATTTTAAGTTAATATCCTTTGCTCATTTTTCTATAGATTTTTGTCATTGTTGGAGTTCTTGATATATTCTGGATATTTACCATTTTCCTATTCTACGTGGAGTATTTTCTCCCAGTATGTTGTCTTTTTTATTATAAAAATAAGGAATACATGTCTGTTTTTGTTCCACTTCAAAAGTAGGAAAGAAATTAAAAATAGTTTACTAAAGGGCATATCTATCTATCTGTAAATGAAAAATCTCCTAACCCTGAGCCTTCCTCTAATCCCCAACTTCTGAGGAAACTACTAATTCCACTTTCTATTATTCTAGAAATATTTGATTTACTTATATTAATTTTACTTATATTAATTTTGTCTGGTATTTTTTTTGTTATACACATTTTTTTATGCCTTTTGTTGTAGTTACATTTACGTACTTGTTTCCTGTGTTTTTTTTTTGCTTCTTGTTTGAGAAAGCTTTTTATACCGAAAGGTTATAAATTTCTTTTCTTTCCTTCCAAACTTTTAATAGCTTTGGTCATTACATTTGGTTTTTACTCTACATGAAATTATTTTTCATGTGTGGAAGATCTGAAATACGGAATTTAATTTGTTTTCTCAAATGCATAACCATTTATTGAACAGTCTGTCCTTTCCTAATTAAGTCCCTCCTACATCATACAATAAGCTGTCCAAAAGACATGGGTCTATTTCTGGACGCTTTAGTTGATCTATTTGTCTAGAACTGTACTAATACCACATCTTTAATAATGGTATAGGTTTATAGATTTTTAGTATATATTATGGCAGGCCCACCATTTTTCTTCTTCATCAAAAATGTTTTGTCCAGGGGCTGGCCCGGTGGCATAGTGGTTAAGTTTGTGCACTCTGCTTCAGTGGCCCCAGGTTCACAGGTTTGGATCCTGGGAGTGGACCTAGCACCAGTCAACAAGCCATGTTGTGGCAGCATCCCACATAAACTAGAGGAAGACTGACACAGTTGTTAGCTCAGTGACAATCCTCCTCAAGTAAAAAGAGGAAGATTGGCAACAGATGTTAGCTCAGGGCCAATCTTCCTCACACACACAAAAAAATGTTTTGTCCATTCTTACAACATTTCTCTTCCAATGTTTATTTTTTGAAATGCTCTTAACATGCTATTTGTTTTCATTTTCAAATGAATCAACTCTGTCAACTTCAGGGGAAAATCCTATTGTCATTTTCATTGAATTAGATGGATTTATAAGTTGATTTGGGAGTAAATGAAATCTTTACAAAACTGAGTTCAGGAATGATGCATATGTCTTCATTATTTCATATAGTTTTGATGTCCTTCAATAACACTTTGTAGTTTCATTCACATTGGTCTTATATAAGTGTTTTTATAGACCCAAGTATTTTAGAGTTCTTATTATAACAATTCCTTTTGGATTATTGTTCACGTGTTATATTTACTATAACTTGCTTTCCCAATCAGAATTATAGTATGTCTTCATTTATTTATATCTTTATTTTTTCAATAAAGTTCATTATAAATTATTGTCATCATGAATGAGATCTCTTTTTTCCCTTATATTCTTCAACTCTATATGATCTACCTAATGGAATACAATGGATTTTGAGGGCTTATCTTACATCCTGCAAATCTGCTGGACTCTCATTGCCTCTAGAAACTGTTGGTTTATTTTCCTCAAGCTTTGCTCGTTTTCAATTGTACCATTTGCAGAGAACAGTGTTTATACTTTTCTTCTATTTATTTTCATACTCAAAAAGTTATTCCTAAGGATTCTAGCAAATATATCAGAAAGAACCATTGATGGAAGGCATCCTTGTCTTTTTCTATTATTTCTAGGGAAGGGGCTCTTGTTCTTCCCCATGAGCTATTATGCGAGCTCTTGGAGACTGATAAATGTAGAATATGTTTGTGTTCATTTACTTATGTTAAAAAAGTTCCCTGCCAATTTTTAATTAAGAGAAGATGTTGAATTTTGATTGCCTTAGTTTCTCCTCAACATCTGTTTGGATAACCACATGATGTTCACATGTTTTCTTCTTAATGTGATGAATTATATTCTTTGCTATACTAGTTCATATAATTGGGATAAAACCACTTCTTCAGCTAAATTTTAAAATTTTATTTAATCAATTTAAATTTAATAGTCACAAATGGCTATGGCTACTACATTGGACAATGCAGTTCTAGAAGAAGAGACTAGTCTATTCCTAGAACCATAGAAGTTTAAGATTTACTCACTTAGCAGATTAGCAAAGAGAGTGATACCAGCCCTGATATCCGTTGAACCCAGCATATATGGGGTTAAAACCAAAGCACTCATTCCCTGCTCACTCCCTGGCTTCCTGGCTCCAGAATCCACTATCCACCATGGAGACAAATGGCCAAGGACAGCCACCTGGATTCTTTATCTCCTCCTCCTCCCCACTACAAGCAGCCTCCCCAGGCTGGTGGGAAAGCTCCCCCTGGCAAGGCCATATGCTCCCCCTCCCCTACCTAAAACCCAAAGAAAAACCCTTACTTTTAGTTTTTCAAGGAGTTTGGGATTTCAGCATTAGCTGCTCTTTCTCCTTGCTCAGCACTGTGCAATAATAAAATTCCTACTTTCTTTCACTATACCCAGTGTCAGTGATTGGCTTGGGTACAACGGATGAGCCAACTCACTTCAGGTTTGATATCAAGAGCAATGTCAGTTTGATCCCAATTTTAGATTATTTAAAAATGTATATATGAATAGAATACATCTGAACAGATATACACCATCAAATAATAGTAATACGTATCTCTGGGAAAGGAATTATAGTTGGTTGCATTTTTTCTTCTTTTCCATATTTTCTATTTTCTGTAATATAAAGTAGACAATTTGCTCTAAAAAATAAAGAAAAAGCAAACTACTTCTTCAAGATCAAAACCTTTTAAATCTGTGCATGCTGGTCCACTAAGATTTTTATTTAGATTTTTGATACCTATATTTATATGTGAGACATTTATAGCATTTAATATTGTCTCTAGTAGATTCTGGAATTAGATAATACTTGTACATACAAATGAGCTGTGTGACATCTCATCAATTTTGTTTTGAAACAAAGATGTCAATTATCACCTCTCATAGCAAACGAACGGCAGAACTGGGGCTTTTGAAATCCAAACTTGTTCCTGTAGCCACTCCAATCACAGAAAATTAATAACTGTTATGAAAGTACAAAGAAACTGGAGCTATGAAAATGATAAGACTGCTTAAGGAAAAGTATTCATTTTGTGAAAATTGGACTAAATGTCTAGTAAATCCACCTGGGCTGGGCTAGGTTACTGTTTCTTTGTCTCTAAAGCATTACATAAAAGATGATTTTCAGGTTATCAGAATGAACCTATGAAATCCTAAACTCTGAAGTGTAGTGCTAGGAACAGCTAATATTGAATACATGCTGGTACACAGTGCAGGAGATAAAGATGCAGCCTCTGGAATCCTACTACTTGAGTTCAAGTCCCACCTCTGTAGCTCACTGGCTGAATAACCCTTGGCAAGTCACTCCATTTATCTGTCTCAATTACCTCATCTATAGAACAGCAATGACTGAAGTATCTAAGGTTGCTGTGGAGATTAATGAGTTAATGCATGCAAAGCACTTAGAGTTGTGTTTAACGCACATCTTAGCACTCAATGAATGTTAACCATTCATATTACTACTACTATGAGGTGGGTGCAAAGAGCTTTGCAATGCCTTGCTTCCTTTATCCTACATCCTGTATCCTTTCTTTACCACAAGTCCCTCAGAAGATAGGTGTTTCCCAGCTCTTAAATGCTGAGGGGACTCAGGCTCAGAGGTTATGTTGCTTACTCACAGTCACACACATAGCTGATGGCTGAGCTGGGATTTGAACCCAGGACTGAGTGAGGCAACAACTATGCTCTACAACTCAACTCCAGTTTACTTTAAAAAAAAAAATCTATGTGATGAACGTCATAGTATAATCTAAATGCAAAATAAAGTTCACCAAAGGGAAAGAAATGTGTCAGAATCACTAAAAAAATACAGAGAAAAACTGTTGAGGAAAGTGATTAAACCTCAAGTAGAACCTTTAACCATGTGCAGTCACTTACCATGTAATAGCCTGGCAGTAGTTTCTGAAGGAACTCAGCTTCTTTATGCTGAACTGTTTTGATGATAAATTCATCATCACTGGTCACAAAAAACAAGGATCCACTGGCTCCGGGGTTGGACAGCTCTATGAGAGGCTCACTGCATATGGAATACTACAAGGGAAAATAAATTAACTTTTACAAACACAGGAAAGGTACGCGATGCTTCCAAGGAGGAAAACCACAGTATGACATATCTTGACAGTACCACATATCTTGACCATTTTGAAACAGGAAGTCCTCTCTCTGAGCTTTAAAAGGAGGCTCCAGGAATACTAAGAAGGGCCTTTGAGAGATTTCTAAAAATTTGATTGATCTGTTCATCTTAATAATCCTATGAAGGGAAATATAGAATGCCCTCCCGCCCCACTGTCATCTGATAACCGTGAATCATCATATCTGTCCAGTGAAATAACTCAAACTGCAGTGTTAACTACGGTCCTTTGTTTCTAGCAGGTGCCCAGAGAAGAAAAAGCGAAGGTGTGACTCACACTGTGGATTTGTCACGTGAACATCAAGACTTATTCTCTTCTCACTATTTATTCCCCCAAGGGATGTCATCTACTCATGGTTTCAACAATAAGGTGACTCTAACATTGGTATCTCTAGCTCAGATCTTTCTCTAGGGCTCCAGACCTGTACATCTAACTTTTTAATAGACATTTCTATTTGGTTATACCACAAACACATCACATGTAACAAGTTCAAAATCAAATTAATCCCAGGGCTGTGGTTAGCCCATATGGTGCCTTTGTGGTAGTTAGAAAGAGGTGCCTCTTTCTCCTGGCAGATGCAGCTCTGGGCCAGATACAAGGTTGGTCAGTAGACAAAGGGGTGGATGCCAGTGCCCACTTCTACACCTTAGCCAGGTATTCTTGGGCAGTGCAAACCCTGCACAATCATACATGGTTGCTCTAGATCATCTGCCCCTACCATCTATCTTCCCTCTCTTTTCTCTATCTTAGAGAACACAAACATTATTCACTTTGTTCCCCAAATCAGAAACTTGGGCATCATCCTTGACTCTTCACATTTTCTCACCTAGCATAACGAGGCTATTGATTATATCTGCTCCCTTCATGCCATCTCTTTTGTCAATACCCTGAGTTAGATGATTTCATCATTTCATGCCTTTATTACTATGGTAAGCTCCCCCTGGTGTCCACTATCCGCTCTTGACCCCTCCAGTGCATTCTCCACCAGGAAACCAGGGATCTTTCTTAAAATGCAAGTCTGATCATGTCCTTCCATGCCTTCACACCTTTCAATGGTTTCCATTGTCTAGATAGGAGGTAATACCCAAGTTTTGTAACAGAAATTTCAAGGCCATGAATGGCCCAGCCCTGCCCTCCAGCCTTCTCTCTGATCAATTCCCTCCTTAAACTTTAGGTGTAGACATAGGAAGCTACTTTTCATTTTCTCAAATGTACCACACACTCTTTACTACCGGGCTTTCCAATTTTCCTCTACCAGAAACAACTGCATTCCACCTTCAGCTTGTTGACTACCACTCATTCATGCGTTCATTCAACATTTAAAAAATATCTATAATATCTCAGGCACTCATGAAGCTTATATCCTAATAGGAGGAAAGAGACAGTAAACAAACAAGTACATTATACATCAGAATGTGGTAAGTGCTGTGGAGCAAAATGAAGTATGGAAAGGCGGGCAGAGAATATTAACAATGACTGAGGAGTGGGTTCCAATAAATTTCAAGTAGGGTGGTCACTGAAAGCCTCATTGGGAAGGTGGCATTGGAGCAGAGGCCTGTGGAGATCTGGGGAAATGGCATTCCAGGCAGAGGGAAGGACGAATGCAGAGGTCTTGAGACCTGGAGAGTTCAAGGCACAGCAAGGAGGCCAGAGGCCGGAGCAGAGTAAGCCATGAGGACAGTTGAAAGGATGAAGCCAGAAGGGTGGAGTGGGCCAGACCCCGTAGGGTGCCAGAGGCCACTGTAAGGACACTGGGCTTCTAAGGGAGCTGAAAGCCACTGGAGGGTCTGGAGCAGAGGACCACTCTGTTTGCTGTGCTGAGAACCCACCGCAGGTGGACAAAAGAAAGACACAGGGAGCACAGTGAGGAGGCTGTCACAGCAGCTTTGGCCTTCAGTACCTCCTGGACAGTCCTTGCTCTGGAAGACTCTTCCTGCTTCCCTGAGTCTAGATCAACTGCTTCCTTGCACTGCACATTCTCATCACAGAAGTTACCACAAAATATCTTAATTGCCTATTTACTATGCTGAGTCCCCATTAGACAGTGAAACTCTATGCGGGCAGAAACTATGAATATCTTATACTGTGATACAGTTCAGGACCTGCGCCTTGCACGCAGTAGGCATTCAATAAATTTCTGTCAAATAAACGATGAACTCCTCTAACAACTGAAAGGCTGTAAATCTCACGAAAATGCCAAAACCTGGCAGAGAAGTCAATTTTTGATTATTAGCTCAGTGTTTATTAACTAATAATCTACATTATTTACTAGAGACATTGTGGGCAGAGAAAAAGGTAAGGAGACAATGTGTAGTATTCATGCTGTGAGTGGCAAAAATAGGGATTTAAAGAACCATATTCTGAGGATGGAGGCATCTGAAAACACCTGGGCTGAACATCTCCCAAAGCTTTTTATCTGGGCTTGTGAATATTTAAATCCTTATGATAGAAAAATCTGAGAGGAGGGGTGGAAGATGAGGAGGAAGTGATGGTGGGAGGAGATGGGAGAGGGAAACTGGGAGAAAAATGATTAAAAGGCAGTTTCTAGATGTCACCTTTTAAATTATCTTGCTTTGGCAGCACTGTGGATAAAGGAAACAAAATTGCCCAAGAAAAGAAACAAGTGTTTGCTGGCTTCCTAAAAGTCACTGGCAACTTCCATCTTCTACCTCCTCCTCTCTCTAGCCTTGCTTCTTGACGCTCTCTTGCTCAGCAGCATTTGAGCCTCAGCACTTATGGACGAGTTGAGGATAAGGCAGGAAAACAAAAATAGCCATCAGACTGCAAACAGGATGGCATAAAAGCCAAGAGGAAGCAGAGGGCACTTATCCTGCCGTGTATACAGAGTCCACGGGAAAAGGTGACTAGTGGGAAGGGTATGGGACTTGGAATCAACTGATGTTTGTAAAATGGTGGCTGTGCCAGTGGCTAGTTGTGTCACCTTGGGTGAGTAACTTAGCATCTTGGAATCTTAGGAACCTCATCTCTAAAATAAAGATGATAATATATATCTGAAAGCAGCTGAAAGTTTAAAAAGTGGGCACTTTTGAAACCCCTGGCAAAGAGGGACCACTTAGTTATTGCTGTTGCTATTTTTTATTACATGATCACATGCAGGGGAGAGGGCCACACAACCTGCGTCACGCACATTCCACAGGCAGGTGAGGAAGAGCTGAGGAGCTTGAGGCTGTCCTGAGGGTTCCAGCCTAACTCCAATGACAAGACAGCGACCCAAGGGTACACTGAGACATTCTCAGATAAGCAGGAAAAAAGGTGGGTCTTTTACATAATCACGAATTTGAGATCTTGGAAAATAAAAGCGCAGACCCCAAGCTCTCACAAAGAGTGAGAGCAGACCCCACTCTCTCTTTAGAAATTCTGATTCTTTGTTCCATGGGGTTTGAATTCCTGGTACAGAAGCTTCTTATGGATAGGAGTAATGTTATGAAAGTACAGAAACAACAAAGAACGCGGAAATTAGAGGCTGCAAATAGAGAAATTAGGGGGTGATTCAGGAAGAGCTGTCTAGAGAAAACTGGATTCAGACCTGAACATCTGCTTCCAATTAAAGTCTCAAATTCTTCTATAAGCAGTGACATAATATGGAGACTATTTCATGGGTTACTTAATTGTAAAATACTCCTTTACTATGTAATTTATAAATTAATATGAATAAGAAAATAAATTGTTTTGATGCATTTTCATAACCCTTTGGGGGTCACTCATAGCACAGCATCAGTGTGCAATAAACCAGCATTATGATACTGAACAGGAATATTACCATTGCCATCTATAATTCTTTGGTTTCTCACCCTGCAACTTGGTTATCATGCTCTTTTCCAAGCTACCTTCTCTGAAATGTTGCCTTTTCAGAGCAAATAAAGAGGAGAGATGGGAACATTTTAATTAGCCATGATCAACAAGCCCCCTTGTGTGCTCCTGGGTTTCAGGCACCTTCCAGGCGCTTTCATCTGTGCAAGCTGTTCCAACGCATTCAATCTCTCGCTTCTATTTCCTGCAGGCCCTCCCTACTATACCCACTGGAAAGAATGCAAAGTACAAGCCAGCTGGGCCCTGCCAAGGCAAATTAACAATGTCAACTTGTGCAGTGTGGTGGAGATAATTTTTCCTGCCATTTCTTCCCCTTGATAGTGCTAAATATTCACCCTGTTCTCTTTCTTAGTGTTGCCAGTGAGCCTGAAAAGACATCAGATAAATCACCCTGGATTTTGGAATACCAGGGCACCTGGTGGAGGGGGAAATGAACCAAGGGCCTGTTGCTCAAAAGCAGAGATGGGAAAAAACGCTCTGGGGTCCCTTTGCCTTCCCTTGGGAGGCGTTTATTTAGGAACAAATAAGGAAGAAAGAATGTGTCCCCACTGCTGCTTCATCATGCTGTCTCACAATCCAAATTATGCACGTTTCAACATGAACTTGTAATCAGCATGCACATGGTGGATTTTAAGGGAACTAAGAACATAAACACAATAATTCAGGCTGAAATCCAGATGCAACAGCACAAAACTAAGTAGAAATACACACATATCATGGGATCCAGTATCAAATCTATCTAAAAAGTTACCAACCGTTGCATAATGTTAACCCCTCCCCCCCCATGTAGATCAGGATATCTTTACAAATTTGGGCTTGAATAGCCTTAGTTTGACAGATGCCAGGATGTACTTTGTGATTTGCACTGTATCCTTTTCTTCATCACACAGTTTTTCAAGGGACATCTTATTTCATTTTTCTGTGCTTTATTTGGCCTTAACTCTTCTGAAATGTGCTTTGGTAGGGTTGTTTGACCTCTTTTGGCTGTATTTTTCAGGATGGTTAATCACAGCTCACAGTTAGATGCGCTAAGGGAGTGGCTACCTTTAGACCACATTTAACGAGAGGTCTGAGACTTGGTGGGTTGGGAAGCATGAAGCCAGCTGGGAAGGGAAAAGAGCACCAAGGGGAGGATGGGAGACCACTGTTCTGGTCTGGGCTCTGCCCCCACCAACGTGGGTAACCTTAGGGACCATCCCTTCCCTGACCCCAGTTTCAGATTCCTCATCTACAATGAAGGGTTGGGCTAAAAAGTCTCTCAGGGTTAAACCCAACTCTCCGAAGCAAGCTGTGTCATGCAAAAGACTCTTTCCTCATCTACCACACTCCAGATCACTGGGTGGGGTCCCCAGATCCAACAGTTTGGAGATGAGCTTCCAGAAGCTCCAAGACCTGTAGGGGGAGCTGCCTTAGTCCTGGGCTGTGCGTGTCCCCAATATAGGGCAGGCAGGTGGCTGTAGCCATTGGGGACCAGGCAGCCATGTTTAGGTAGAGGGCCACTGCCCTTGTTCTGTTTCTTGCAGGTCCCAGAGATGTGACCTGATATTGAACTGTGTGTACCATTAATAAGGGAGGTGGAAAACTGGAATCAAACAAAAGCACAACTTTTAGCTGCCAGGCCCTATCTTTCCCTGTCACCCTTTTTATATATATATATATATATATATATTTTTTTTTTTTTTTTTGAGGAAGATTAGCCCTGAGCTAACATCTGCCACCAATCCTCCTCTTTTTGCTGAGGAAGACTGGCCCTGAGCTAACACCCCTGGCCATCTTCCTCTATTTTATGTGGGACGCCTGCCATAGCATGGCTTGACGAGTGGTGTGTAGGTCCACACCCAGGATCCGAACCTGTGAACCCCGGGCTGCCAAAGCAGAATGTGAAGACTTAACTGCTGTGCCACTGGGCCAGCCCCAACCCTAACTTTGTATTATGGGAAATTTCAAACACAAATAAAGGAAATGAGAATTGTGTAATTAACATCCATGTGTCTGTCTTCCAGCTTCAACAGTTATCAACTCATGGCCAATCTTGTTTCCTCTACACCCCCAACCACTCCCCTAAGATTCTTTCAAAGCAAATCCCAAACATCAAATCATTTCATCTATAGATATTTCAGTATATGTCTCCAAAAGATAGGGACTCCCTCTTTATAATGGAACCACAATATCACCCCACCAAGAAAATAATTCGTCAACATCATCAAATATCTAGTGAGTCTTTACATTTCTCTAATTTCCTATAATTTAAAAAAAAAAAAAAAACTTTACTCGAATTATCTGGCCCTGTCTTTCTAATATTTCTGATCAAATCCTACCCCTCCAGCCATACTGGTCCATTCAAAGTTTTTCTAAACGTTTAAGGCATTTGCATCTCTGGTCGCACATCCCTAACAAGCTCCCCCCTCGCCGAAAATCCTTCTCTTCTTTCCCACCCACTCAAACTCCTTGTAATTTTTAAAGCACAGTTCAAATCACACCACACCCACAAGAAGTCTTCCTAATCATTACTTTAACAGAGAGAGACCCCTCCCTCCTCTGAAATCCCGCAGCATTTAACGTTTCATTTCAGTCTCTTGATTTACTGCCTGGTAGAGTTGGTTGTTTGCCCACATAAGCAAATCACCATTCCAATTAGATTCTAAGCTCTCTAAGTGTCATGACTCATAGTTTTAAAAAAAATTTCCCTGTAATTATTAGCAGAGTATTTTAGTTACAATAGGTGCTGAAAATACCCGGTGATTGATTAGTTTACCTTTTGCCAGGTACATGGAGGAGGACTTTGGCTCTAAGAAGACATCATTTAGTCTCCTGTGCTCCTTTAGAAATGCTATAACCTCATCATGAAAGTAAGTTTTCCAGCTTAAAGACTCACTAGGAAACTGTGTAAGCTGTGTGAGAAGTTGTTCAGAAAAAGGCCCTTGCCAAAGACAGCAACTTTGTGAGACAGGACGAGTGAAAGAATGGGCTTCCCAGCCTGCAGGTCAATGGCCGTGGGAGGGCTAAAGAGAGACCTACTCAGGTGAAGGTAGACAGGCAGCCATGTCATCATACTGACTGCTTCTGTGTGGTGAAGTGTGAGCCTGTGGCATCTCCTTGGCTGGCAGAAGCTCAAGGAAATTCAGAAGGAGAATCCATTAATTTCTTGTGTGTAGCAGAAGATGAGGGATGGATGCTGTTTTCAGTATTACAATATCAAGACCCCAGTGGGTTTCCCAAACACGTTTCCCGAATGACAGTGACCCTCAGTAATCACAGAATGGACAGAAACCAAAGAATCTTCCCTAACCCACCCCCCCCCACACACACACACAATGTGTGTGTTTGTGTACTTGAGTGGTTGGGAGGGCAGGGTTGGCAATGCTGGGTAGAGGCACCTGACATCTCAATTAAGGGGCGCAGTAAGGCAGAGAGCTACAGGCACGTAACCATACAAGGGCAGCAGATGCCCAGGAATTTTCTACTAGGTTCCCACTGCTCTATGAAGACTTATTAATGTGCCTCAAGGAAGCAGTATTATCTCATCCGGCAGAAGTCATATGATTCTCTAGGGCCCAACTAAGAAGAGGGTCATTCATGGGTTTTCATCAGCACAGAACAGAATCAGCTTTGAAGTTAATCATTTACATCTTACCCAAATTATAAGACGCAGTTTAAATACTCTGTTACAAGTGACAAATGTTGCTATACTTCCTCTGCAAAGCATTATGCCAGGATCTGGTTCAAGTCTTATTAAGATCATCCCGAATGGGATGAACAATAAATATTTGATGGCATCCTTCCTACAGCTTCTTGAAAACCAATCTGGAAGAGCCCCAGGGTGTTAACAGTGATCAAATTATGAAATAAACCATTTTTCTCTTGAAACAGAAAGGAAGTTCCTGGCTCCTTGAAGAGGAATAACGTAAAACTCTGAGGTCACATCGGATTACCTGACAATAAGGCTGTTGTGTTTGTATCTGCTGCATGCCAGAAGGAAGACAGGGAGAAGAGATAAGTCTAAGCATAAAACACGTCCTTGTACCCAATAAAAATACATTTAAAAAGAGCCTGCATGAAGAGACGCTGAGAACAAAACAATCCAGCTTCTTTAAAATGGTATTCAAATTGTAGGTCAAGGGGAAAATAGTTGTGGGCCAAGGCAGGTTTGCAATGAATGGTATAAACAAGGCAATTAAAATAGGAAGGCCTTCAAACAGAATCCAATCAGCAAAATTCACAGGAGTATTTAGAACTAATTTTAATAGATCTGTTAGAATAATTATCTGAAGTAGCAACCAATATCACAGTTATTTAAATATCAATCACCGGAACAGATTTTGTAGTTATCAGGTAAAAGTTGCAGAGTCAAATCACATTTCCTGCAGTTAAATTTATAATCATTATAAAACTTGGAACTTTTCCTATGCTCCAGAGCTTTATAAAATAAGAGACACAAGCCGCTTGTCGCTGTTGCTATGAGACAAATGTTTACATCACACATTTCTGGAGAAGGAAGGAAAATTACAGGTTCTTACCAAGTAATCATCAGGCTTGATACCAAAAAGTTCTCTGAAATATCGAAATGCTAGTGGAGCATATGTCTTAAATCTGAAGTCTGGGTAGTGATGTGCTGGGGTCAGATTGCTCCCTTCGCTGCAGTTAAAGTATTTTTTAAAAAAAAAGAGAGAGAGAGAGAACATTAGCAAAGACAATTTTGACTTCAAATTCTAGCTCTACTAGTCCTGGGCCAATTTCCCCTCTGGAAAAACATCCTCTGATAGTGGGGCTCTCTAAGCTCACATCACAAAGGCCAATGGCCATCAAGTAAACACAGATGCTAACTCAGCGAGGGCTACTCCCAGGAGGCGTTCCCTGACATTCACAGTGTGGCTTTAGTCTGAAAATTCTTTATCATCCCTCCTGTGCCTCCTTCCTGGGAATATCACTCCATCTTTCCCAGTGAAATCACAGTTGTAATGTGTTAGGTATAAGATCTATGGCTTAGTATGTGGGACAATTTCAAAAATGTATGTTTTTTTGGCCCTGAATTTTGAATATTGGATAAACATTTTAAACTAGAAATAAGTAAAATAATTGTGTGTGTGTGTGTGTGAGGAAGACTAGCCCTGAGCTAACATCTGTTGCCAATCTTCCTCTTGTTGCTTGAGGAAGATTGTCCCTGAGCTAACATCTGTGTCAATCTTCCTCTATTTTGTATGTGGGACACGGCCACAGCATGGCTTGATGGGTGGTGCAGAGGTCCACGCCCAGGATCTGAACCTGCAAACCCCAGGCTGCAGAAGCAGAGTGTGTGAACTTAACCACTATGCCACTGGGCTGGCCCCAGTAAAACAATTTTTAAGGTATCTCACACCAACAGGGAGAATCATTCCACTGGAAATAGATGAGTCCTGAATCTGAACTCTTTCCTACATCCATATTTACAGGAAAAGAGACCTTAAACATTTTAGGGATTTAAAAACTTGATTTCCATCCTCAAATATATCATTACCTTTTTTTCTGTCCTCTTATGAATTCATCTTTGAAAACTGTTCTGCAATATTTATGATATATAAAAGGTATATAGAAATAGACCAGTGAATACTCATGAATTCAAAATGCTGAAGAAATAAAATGCTATCCATATAGTTGAATCACCTTCTGTACTTTTTACTGATCACATAGCCTTCCTTCTCCTTAGATACATCCAATAGCCTGAATTTTGATGTTTATTATTCATTTCATTCTTTGACTACATATAATACACTTCACATGACATCAGACAAGTCATTTAATCGACTTGTACTTAAATTTTTCATTGTGAAAAATTAGTGCAGTAGAATAATATAATTTTACATAGAGGTTCAAGATCTATTTTTACCACACTCTTAGTTGGGACACCGGGGCTCTGTGCAAGTTTATTTTGGTCTGGTTTTCAGGATACCACACAGACAAATAGGACTGCAAATAAAAAGGCTTTCAGCACACAACGAACACTTGGAATCTACTACACTTTAAGTTTGTTGAGGTCAGTCAGATTTTTATATCAGTATCCAGCATACACAGACATTCAATAAGTATTTGTTAAATAAAAGAATTCATTTTCAAGATAACGCTAATACAGTAAAGTTGATTCTTACACGAAGCTTAGGTTCGAAAGTCAACACATAAGGTAAAAAACCACCATAGTCAAAAATTATCCTTGAAAACCATTTAGGAAATTATCTACTCAATATATCCAGTGAGCCAGTCCTTCTTCCCGCACAGTTACAGGTGACTGCTTCTTTTGGTGAGTTCCAGAGGAAGTAGTTGGCTTGTGTTGTTAGGGGCCATCATCATATAATAAATCTTACCTTTAAAGGTTGGGAGTATACTCAGGCAGCAGTAAGGCATGCACTTCAGGAGAGTGACATAGGAGCTAAGAGCGGAGTGACACAGGGAGAAGAGTGGTCCTCGCCAGCTGAGCCACACTGGATGGAATGGCCCCCAAATCACCTACTCTTTTAAATGGTTATTGTTTTTCTAAGCAAGTATATAGTTCAATATTCGTAATGTACGTATGATGGCCAGGTATTATATCCAAACATTTCCTCATTCCATATTTTGGATTTATAAGGGGACATACACTCAGTTATAGATCCTATGAGTTTGTCAAAAGGAATAATTCTGGAACTTATATAACATGCAATGATTTGAAAATGTGAACTACATAGAAATAAGGGGTAAAATCAAAGAGGCTGAAAGTGACCTCTGACATCCTTCCTCATTTTTATAAGCAAGTGAAAGCAATCACAATGCCTTGGGTTCTGAAGCAGGGTGCTTGCAGTGGGCTAAGACTGTGGCCAATTTCTTATTTCTTCCACTCTCTTTCCTCCTTTCTATCTCATGCAATCAAAGTAATTCATTCCATTAGAGCAGATTACCTTCAACATGCAAAGAGGAAGATGAAACACCGTGTTCCACTTACATTATTTGCATTATTCTCACCTATATTTGCATTATTCTTATGCAGTTGGGAATCTTTACTCAAGATTTATCAGAGAGCATACAGTATTTATTATTACTATTTTGTGTGTGTGTGTGTGAGGAAGATTGGCCCTGAGCTAATATCTGTTGGCAATCTTCCTCTTTTTATTTGAGGAAATGAATTCTGCTGTCCTTTGACTAGTATTAAGACTAGTTCGCATTCTCTTAAATCATACTGGATCTGCTGTATGGTAATTAAGATGCTCTTAACTCCCTGTAGTCGAGGGAGACCCTGGTTCAAGTTCCATCTCTGCCATTTACAAGCTGTGTTTCCTGAGGCCTGGTACTGAACCTCTAGAAATGAAACAACAAAGTCAATGGAAACATGAACGGCAATGTGCTTGGCATGTGGGGAGCTCTCAGTATGTCTGGATGACTGAAGCTGTACAACGATGGGAAACAACCCAGACTTGAACACTTCTCACGAAGAATGAGTTGACCACGTAGTTAAAAAAAAAAAAGGAGAAAAAGAAAATGACAAGATGGGAAAATATTTGCAATCATATTACAGACAAAGGGCTAATCTCCCAACATAAAGAACTCCAATAAACAGTAAAGAAAAAGGCCAAAAAGTTAACTTTTTAAAAAATAGCCAAAGATATGATCAGGTACTTCACAGAAATGGAAGTATAATTGATTTAAACATATGAAAAGATGTTCAACCTCACCCATAACAAAAGAAATGCAAATTAAATGTCACCGAGGGACTCTTTTACCTATGAGATTGGCAAAAATCCAAAGCTTTGATATAGCTCAAGGGAAACTGGCACCCTGAAGCATTATTAGTGGGAAAGTACACTGATACTTTTCTTATGGACAACATTTCTACAACTTCTGTCAAAATTACAAATATATTTAACTCTTTGATCCAGCAAATGCATGCCTACAATTTATCCTATAAACTAGCATATGTACAAGATGACTTTTGTGTACTTGGTTATTCGGTTTAGCATTGTTTGTAAGGACAAAGGACTGGAGGCAACCTAGATGTCTCTCAGCAGACGGCTGATCAAATTAATTATGGTTCTGCCACATACTGGAACAGTATGCAGCTTTTAAAAAAAAAGAATGAGGGGGCTTATTATGTATTGACATGGCAAGATCTTTGGGATAAATTAAGTGAAAGAAGCATGATGCAAAATCCTGTGTATGGCGTCTATCATTTGTATACAAAAGGAAAAAAATTTTTTTGGCTTGTATATGCCTAAAAAAAGCCTTGAACAATGATCATTGGAACTGGACACTGGGTAAAAAAGGCACAGGGACAAAAGGGACACTTTTCACAGCATCCCTCTTAAAGCACCAAAAGGATGATCTCTTCTATGTATTACCATTCAAGACATAAAATAAGTTTTGAAAGTTAGGGTTAAAAGCTATAACCTCACATACACACATCCCAAAACAGAGCTCTGAGTGCTCAGAACCACAGCAGGAGAGTTTGCTTCTGCATGTTAAGCTGCACCAGTGAAGGACAATCATCAGCTTGACCTGAATGAAGCTCTAGTGAAGGAAAGGCAAATCAATGGGACTGTCGGCCTGGCTGGAGTTAGTCAGGAGTTAAGACTACACAAGAGCAGAACCAAACAGCAGGCCCAGTGTGGGTCAGCCAGCGATACCAACCAGAGTTTTCTAAGGTCGTGCATTGGCAGACCTACTGGGTAGAGGTGTGGGTGTGGCTGCTGGCCCAAAGACGTCCAGCACAGAAGCTCCTCAGCGCATGTATGAGATGCTTAGCTAAGGCAGTTAAACACAACTGCAATCAGCATTAGTCTGCCAGCCAGTGCAAGAGTCCCACCAAAGATTCCTGCGGGCTCTCCTTGCCTGAGCCTGGGTGGTTTCCATCACCACCCAGCACCTAGACCAAGTCAGCAAAAATATTTCTTCACAATTTAAGATTTATATCATATTCCTTCAACGGATTTATGTAGTGTTCAGGGGGAAAAACCTCACTTTCCTGTTTTGGCATAAAATTGAGGCTTTGGAAATTTCAAATGTGAAGTTTCAAGTAGTTGTTCTAGAGGCTTGGTCCCCTAGGCAGTAACATTTCAACAATAAAAATTTGGAGGCCAACGTGGGATTTCCAACCTTATTTTTCTAAGTACGAACTTAAACAATTAAGCAAACACACGGTACCATCTCTATCAAGTTATAAAAGAAATGGTATATTAACTTCATTAAAGGAGGAGGAAACTTCGAATAAAGAACAGTACTTTCTCTGTCTTGTCCTTTTCTCCCTTATTTCACTAGGAAGCAGTCAAAGTTTGATCAAGGACTAGCTCTGGCATTTTGACATTCATCTCTTCTGAGTAGAGTTCAATTTTTAAGACCAAAACCGCTGCTTGTCTTAAATCCAAAAATACATACTTCTTAATGGCAATGGATGTTTAGAATGATATAATGTTAAAGCTTGACGAAGCATTAGCCGCCATCTGGAATTTCCCATTTAGCCATAAAGAATCAGAGTTCAGGGAGGGAAAGTAATGGCTTAAACTGGTCAGACACAAATAAGACTGGGAGCTTAGATCCACACCAGAGCACTGGGAAAGTCATAAGCAGACAGGTACGCCTTAACTTGAACCTGACGTTCCTAGGTTAGTCTTCCTTTTCGGGATTCAGTTACAGGCTTC